TCTGAAAAAATTTGCATTTGTTAATGTTTAAGCTGAAGCCCGCTGAGGTAAGGGACGCTAGGACCCGATCGAGTTTTTCTAAACCTGTTTGGATGGTTTTTGATGGAATGATTACGTCGTCCATATAAACCAGCGCATCGGTATCTTTGAGCTTACCCAGAGCTTTACAAATCGCCCGTTGAAATACTGCAGGGGAATTCGATAGACCAAATGGTGAACGCAGGTATTCAAAATGCCCGTCAGGCGTGACAAAAGCTGTTTTGGAAATAGAGTTTTCAGCCATAGGAATTTGATGAAACCCCGCTGCCATATCGAGAGTCGTAAAATACTTGCTTCCCCCCAGCTGATCAATTTGGTCGTCTATACGTGGCAATGGAAACCGATCTTTAATGGTTATTCCATTAAGGGCGCGATAGTCTACGCATAAGCGTCGGCTGCCATCTTTTTTGTACACCAGAATAACTGGACTAGCAAAAGGCGACGTGCTTTCACGTATGATAATTGTTTTGCAAGAGGTCGTCAATAATATCTTTTACCTTTTCTCGTTCGGACAATGACATTCGGTAAGGGTTATAACAAATTATTTTATCGGTTTTTAATTTGATTTCCATTTCACCGGTTGTTACAGCCCTCACGGAATTACCAACAGTTATAGAATCGCTATATTTTGATAATAATTTCAACAAGGCGTCGAAATCATGTCCATTCAGTGGTGTTTGAATTTTCTCGGGAGAAATTGTTACGTTTTGAATCTTTTTAGATTCTATGTTATTTGTGTCATCGAGATAAATTCTAGACCCACATGAGTCAGTGCAAATTCTGATTCCTTTATGATTAAATAAATCTCTACCCAAAATTGCATCTAATTCCATAACAGAAGTTTCGACAACATAAAAACTAATTTCAAATGCCGTCCCCTCTCTCTCAACTAGTAAATTAGCCCTTTGACAACTTGGTATTGAGTTGCCTCCTACACCCTTTAACATTATGAAAGTTGGTTCGAAATGACAGTGTAATTTATGGGCGACTTTTTCGGATAGCAAACTACATTCTGCACCCGTGTCGATCAAACAGTTTACGGTCAAATTTTGTATTTTGAATTTTATGCAAAAGTCATTATCTAGATCTACGCAGAAATAGTTTATTTTGGAGAATCTGGACGACTTCTCTGCTTTATTTTGACTTTTGAAGAAGCATTTTTCAGAATTATGCCCGAATTTCGTACAGATCTCACAGGGTTTCGCAAGACCTGGTAGATTATTTGAGCTTCTCGCCTTATTAGTATTATCGTATTTGAATAATTTAAGCGATTTAAAACAATTCCGGCTGATATGACCAGGTTTTTTACAGGAATAACATATTTTTCCCTCATCATTATGTTTAAACGGATTCGGGCGTTTTGGCGCCCCTACTTGAAGCTGAGAGTCTTGTTTATTAATTTGATAGTTGCTAAGCAAGTTAAGTAAGGTCGGCCCGGAAACTAGCCCAAACTTTATTTGATGGGTGCCAGTTGTCATACCAATCCTTTGCGTCACCTTCCAGGGCACCCGCGGCTCTGCTAAGCTGTTCAAAATCAGTCCACTTGAACGTGGTCGCCAAGGTCTCCATATCGTCGCACCAACCCATCGCTCCCGCATCGCTTTTTGAGGGATCGAAAGCTGGAATGTTAATTGGCGCAGAGGGTGCTGGCACCACCGGCGCCGCTGCGGCTTGTTGGGGTTGCTGCTGAATTCCTCGAAGAACTGCAGTTAAAACGCTGGTTAATTCCTCCATTTCGACAGACTTTTAACACTTAAGTATCACTGCCAAAAGTAACGCTCACTAGGTATATACGCTCAGGACAATGAATTGCTCACGCACGCACACTCGAAATAAGTCAGGTTGCACTATGTATTTCTTCTGTGGTCCTTTTAGCGAGTTGAATCCCACTTCTGATGTGAGAAAATTATCATTTTCTTAGGGAAAATCAAACACTTCATAACTTGTATCACATGTATTCACTCCAGCATCTGTTACAAGACTGACTATGACTAACCACCTTGCCCACAAAAACACATCGCAGCACATCGGAATATTCACGGTCGCCAGAAGTAAACAAAACATATTCAATAGACAAAACATATTCAATAGACAAAACATATTCGATGGCGTAGCGTAGCGATTCAGCGAAAGGCTCACAAGCATATAAATCTCCATATTTTCTGGCCATTAAATGCAACACCATATACACTGAAAACCAAATACGTGACGTCCTAATGAGTACGAGAGAGAAGCGTGCAATATGTGTGCTAGAAAGAGATAGAAGCACCTCGTCGTCTAGCAACCCAAGTGACGAGCCCACGGATGCCATCGGGGCACTCTTTCTAACATACCTATTGGATGCTTCTCTCTCGTACACATTACATCAGCCAAATTTGAACCTCACCGTATGTAGGATTAACCTTTCAAAAAGTTGATCCTACATACATAATGTAACAAGAATGAATAGTACTGTTGGCGCCCTCTGTTGGGAACCACGCCAGACTCTCCTTCGGTGGCGACATCTGTTGGGGACCTCAAGATCCTCCTTCGGTGCTGGCGACATCTGTTGAGGACCATGCCAGGGACTTTTCTTCGAGATCGACGCGAAGTGACCTCGAAGATTCTGGACTGCCGCTATGTGACTCACCGGTGTCTTCTCGAATCAACGAGTCCCTGCGATGCGAACTATATAACTCGAAGGCCGGAAGACGGAAGCAGAGTAGAGTATAGTTCAGTAAATGGCGCCACATAATAATTCGTAAATAAATAGTCGGACATAAATAGTGGTGTACATAAATGTTCTATCTAGACAAGTTAATTAAATTAGTGCATTTCTTTTTGTGGAATCCAGTGTTTTAATCCACACCCAAAAGAACCCAGAAAAATGCTACAATAATACATATTACATGCAGCATGTTCACTGAATCAAAACAGTTGCTCATGTACAGCCCATCCCAAAAAAAGGATCTAAAACCGACCCTTACAACTACAGGCCTATAGCTCTGCTTTCTGTTATAAGTAAAGTGATGGAGAGGTGCATAAATCGCGAGCTTCTGGACTACCTCGAACGTCACAGCTTGATTAGCGACAGGCAGTACGGTTTCCGGCACCAACGATCCACAGGGGACCTCCTAGCTTACGTCACGCAACTGTGGAGTAAACTCATCCAGTCTCATGGTGAGGCTCATGTCGTTGCTCTTGACATCACGAAAGCGTTCGATCAGCTGTGGCACGCTGCCCTCTTAAGCAAACTTCCATCCTACGGCCTCCCAGAAATGCTTTGCAGATGGGTGGCTGACTTTATCTCTGACCGCAAGATATCCGTCGTAATTGACGGATTCTCCTCTTCATCCCACAACGTCAACGCGGGTGTTCCCCAGGGATCGGTCTTGGCTCCAACACTGTTTCTCTTACATATCAACGACCTCCTTTCCTGCACGATCAACCCAATCCACAGCTTCGCTGATGACAGCACTCTACATGCAGGAATTCAGAGTGACAAGCCGATCTCTGCCGCAGAGCTGGAAAAAAGAAGACTAGCGACGACTTCTTCTCTGACAAGAGACCTGGAGGCTATCACTGCTTGGGGACGCAACAATCTTGTACAGTTCAATGCTTCCAAAACACAGTACTGTACTTTGACGAACAAAAAGCGTCCTAGCGCTCATACAGTTTCGATGGACGGTCGAGTTCTACCAAAGAGCCATTCATTTCGGCTGGTCGGAGTCCAGATCACCGAGGACCTGATCTGGCACGAACACATCTCTTCAATAGCTGCAGCTGCTGGGAAAAAGCTAGGCTATTTGTTTAGGGCTAAGAAGTACTTTTCTCCGCATGACCTTCTCAGTCTATACAAGGCCCAGATAAGGCCTAGCCTCGAGTATTGCTCACACATTTGGGGTGCTGCCGCCCCGACTACATTGTCCATGCTCGATGCTGTCCAGAGGAGGGCGGTCCGACTGATCGATGACTCTTCCCTAACAGACAGTCTCGGGACTCTTTCGCACCGGCGGGATGTCGGCGATCTAGCTCTTTTCTATCGCTACACCAACGGGCTTTGCTCCTCAGAGCTCTCTTCCATGATGCCGCCGCGCAATGTGCCTGCCAGACGGACCCGCCTGACTTTGGCCTCCCATCCAAATCGTGTCGAACTTCGTATATCCAGAACTGGCCGATACGACCGCTCCTTTGTCCCGAGGGTGTCTAGATTGTGGAACAATCTACGGGAGGAAGCTTTTCCCAGTTCTACTAACCTTAGGCAGTTCAAAAATCGTATTAACAAAATTTCTTTGGGATCATCATAGCAGCCGCGGTGTTCCGGCATTTAGGCTTCTGCCTGCGCGGCTGTTTCGATATAAAAAAAAAAGTTACATTACAACGTCAAATAATGTCAGTGACGCACATGGTTGCCACAATACTTAAAACTACTAGATCCTAGGAAATAAAAAACAGCCATTGGCTTAATTTCCTGGCAACATTGGCGACATGGCACAAACAAAGAAAACTGTGACCAACAAAAATGTATCGTGGAAATTCAAACTATACGTACTAATTTATATATTTTGTATTATTAAGGTTGGCATTTAAATTTACTAAACATGACGTAACCGCTTTGTATCAGCGAAAGGACTATATTTAAAAAATTAATCCTACATGTGTGGTTCATTAGGTCCAGAAAATTTGGATAATTATCAGCATAAAGACCACAGGATCAGCTACATCAACATCTGGGGGTTTGATACTGACCATAAATGATTAAATAAACACATCCATATTTCCTACTTGCACGACAATGAACACAGATAGAATATGGTGGACAGTTTTGCAATTGCAGCTGCGCTATTGAGTTGTGTTCACAACCGGACGAATGATTATACTCTGTGCCCGTACTTGAAGGTTTGTTCCATTATTTATTGTATCTCTGCCATGTCAAGCTGTCAAGCATGATTTTCGTTTTGTATTCGTTCCGTGGTTTTTGTTTGTGAGGTATGGGTATGGGGTATGGGAATGGGATGATTCATGACGGTGACGTCACGTTTAACCTTGTGACGCATAAGCAAAAGAAAGTGTAAAAGTTCATTCATACAAAAATCTATAGAAAAAACTAAACAGAAAACTGATCGCGTTTTTTTCTTACTACACCCGCATATAGCAGCAACCAGTACAAGTTTTTATATTGCTTGCTGTACATGTTCTTAACGTATGTCGCACCTGGTTTCTATTGTTGAAATAATCCTAATTGTAATTTTTGTAGATGGACAATGAACAAGGTCTGGATAACCATTCAAAAACAATAATTCATATCGACGTAGATTGTTTCTACGCACAGGTCGAAATGCTGAAGAATCCTGATCTCAATTGTCTTCCAATGGGTGTCTCGCAGAAAAGATTTGTTGTTACATGCAACTACATAGCCAGATCAGCTGGGATCAAGAAGATGATGCTGATAACAGAAGCAAAAGAGAAATGTCCAGAACTAGTATTAATTAATGGCGAAGATTTACATGATTACAGACAATATTCCTACAAAATCACTGAATTGCTGTTGCACTCCTTTAGCTTAGTTGAGAGATTAGGCTTAGACGAGAATTATATTGATGCTACTGATGAAGTACACAAAAGACTACACAATTATAAGGGCGATTTGGACCTAGTAGGAAATGTTTTTGGTGACTCAAGTGACTTGTGTGATTGTGGATGTACTGAGCAAATGAAAATGGGTTCTATTATTGCCCAGGAATTACGAGATAAAATAAAGACAGAGCTAAAGCTGACAACTTGTGCTGGCATTGCACATAACAAATTATTAGCAAAAATAGCTGGTGGCAGGCACAAGCCTAATCAACAGACTATTGTATTTCCTAACGAAGCTGTTGAATTGATTCTCAGCATACAATCACTACAAAAAATCCCAGGTCTTGGCCAAAAATTATGTAAGGATCTAGAAGCAATAGGCATTACTTCTATAGATGAGTTGCAGAATTGTGATTTTGCTCACCTCTCAGATCTCCTTGGATCAGAAAAAGCTAGAGCCACTTATGATTTAAGTTTTGGAATAGATAGATCACCAGTTAAAACAACAGGCAAGCCACAAAGTATTGGTATAGAAGATAGCAAACATATTACTGCAGAAGCAGAAGTAATAGAGAAGCTCCATGAGTTATTATCAAGGCTCTTATTGTTGGTTGCTGAAGATGGAAGAATACCGCGCACAATTCGATTAACTGTCAGACAAACAAATAAAACTTCTAGAGTGACAGTGCGTGAGTCAAGGCAGTGTAATGTTAATCCATCTCTCTTTAACTGTAAAGATATCTCACAGCTCTCACAAAACAGTGTGAATAAAATTATGTCAATTATCATGAGGTTGTTCAGCAAACTAGTGGATACAAAAAAGCCATATCATTTGTCATTGTTGGGTTTGGCATTCACAAAGTTTTTAGAAAAGCCAAACATAAGGAGCACACTGACCAAATTTTTATATAATAACATGGAAGTACAGTCAATTACAGACATAGAAAATAAATATGACATTGGGAAAAACAGCCCAAAAGAATCCTCTCCTTCAACATCCTACTTTGAAAATTCTGATAGTAGTGATATAGAGCAGTCTAGCAAAAAGTGTAGAACTGAAAACCGTATTGTAAGAAGAAGGTTCCATAATGAAGATTGTGATTCGCCATGTAAATTAAAAGTTGCTGATTTGAGGTTGAATTCAGTAGAAAAATCATCTGATGAAAACCAGAATGTTCCTTGTCCTCCAAATGCTGATGAAGGGGTATTTAGAGAATTACCCAATGACTTACAGTTAGAGCTTTGGAAAGATTACAAACAGAGTAGAGAGAGGATTGGAAGTGAAGGATTCAACAGATCAAAGAAAACAAAGAAAAACACAATATTGGATTACCTAGTTAAATGATGAAAAATAATGATGTGCTGAAATTGCTATATCTAAGTGTAGGTTGAAAACCTTGGTGGGTTTTTTGCATCTCAAGAAATCTCGAGTTGGATAAGGCTGAAGAAAGAGATAAATTATTATATATAACGTAAGTAATGACAGTTCTGGTTCTGTATTACAATGAAGATACTCAACTAGTTGTAAGTTAGTAACTGTTGATCAGTTTCAGAACAGTCTTAGAGAACGTGTCTAAGAATTTGTAGGCTTAATTTTTTAAATGGCCCAAATATGCTTAGTGATCTCAGTCTATTTCTGGGGAGCCTCAGTGAAATATGTGTGATTAGCATAATGAGAATATTCAAAATTGGAGATCATTAAAAGCTCTCAAAAGGTGCTATTCTGAATTGACATCCATCATCTCAAAATATAAAGGAATGTGTGTCCCATTCAGTGTTTTTGATATTGTTCTGTAGTTATTATGGTTGCGTTATTGAAATCACTCAATTTGATACATTTGCTGATCCTTAATAAAAATAATTAAGTTCATCATATAATTTGGATCCCCCTTGCAGATGCTCATTTAAACAGTGTTGTTGGCATGGCAGTGGGCCACCCTAATAATATTGACTGATGAAAACATTAAGAAAAGTGCATGATATGGTTTTACAAGATGCACATGTAGAATTACATGGACCCATTACATGATCTTGAACTAAAAATTGTTGGATGCTTTTAAAGAGAAATGGGTTAAGAAGGGGCATATTGCTTGACAAGGATAATGCTTCCATCTGTACTTCCTGCATTACTATGGTTGCACAACCCCATGCATGCTTTGAATTGGTAGATTATGAATGTTTTCAAAATGAAAAGAATATAAAAAACTTTTCAAGTAAGCAACAACTGATCTCTTTGGTATAAGGGTGTTTTATCAACCCTCTTACATCTCAGCTGTATTCACAAATAGTTGTCACATGCTACTTATGTAAAATTTTACAAATTTTCTATACAAATCTGCATACATTTTTGAATTAACCTGTGTGGATTCAATAACCAGCCAAAGTGGTAGAATGATGAATGTATATATTTTGCTGTAGCTTTAATTTGTACTTTTTACACTTTTAATATTCAATACCTTTACAAATTCTTACAAATTCTATATATCCCTTAGTTAGGTTTTGAGGATGTGTTCATCATTCAATATACATTTAGTGTGTTTGTAAAAATATGTCTATATAGATGTATAGTGCTAATGGATTTTAAAAATCTGTACTTAATTTTTTGACTTGTTCAACTGAAAGCTATACTCAGGTTAGTTCATTGTGATATTAGAAAAAATATTCATCAAAATTGCATTTTTTAAACAGCTTCTCATCGTTATTTTTAAACAATGTATGGTGAGTGTGGTATACATGTACATATTATATATTCCAATATAAATGTAAAATGTGTTGGGTTTTTTATTTGGTCCAGAGGTGTATATACAGTATATCAGAATGCCCTATATTTTATTAAACATTGATATAAACAACGTTTTCTACACTATTCAAATTCATGCATGTGAAGGTAGCTCCAACAGCTGGCTCGACAATCGCACGCGCCGCTAGAATACAGCGAACCGAATAAATGTCCTGCGATACGCCGTGGCCGCAGCGTTACTCGTAGGAGCCCGTGACGTGGAGACGAGGTGAGCGCGATAGTTTTATGTATGCCTAGGAGTCTTATTATTGCATTAAGTGGTTCTGCAGAGTTCGTATCTAAGGTATTCGTACACCTCAACTCATAACAAACAAGCCTGTCGTGTACGGTGCACGATACTCCCTGAAATATAGGAAACAGTTTTTTTCTCATGAAAATTTGAAGAGGTGCGTTGTGTTTTTCAGGGTTCAAAACAAGAGCTATTATAATCGGTTATCCAAAAGTAGTGACAACTGGTCTTACACCGCAGCTCCAAAGAAAAGTCTGTTGTATACGGTATGCGCTACTCCCTGAAATCTAGGAAACATTTTTTACAGGCTTTTTTGGAGCTGCGGTGTAAGACCTTTTGATAACTGATTATAGTAGATCTTGTTGTGTACTTTGAACTCTGAACGCACCTCAACTTTTCATTTTTTTATACTCAAACTAACCGCGAAGGCCTAAGGCCTAACCACCCATGGGGTACCGTGGGACTATAGGGCGAAACGGGTAAGGGGGGACGCCACACGGACTCTGGCGAGTTAACACCTGTGCATGCAACATGCACACATTCTACGGCATATGAATTTTCTTCTGCCCACAAATGATTATTGTGGAAATTCTGAATGGCATTTCGAGAAAAATTAGCTTCGTCCGTCAACAGAATCATTGATTCAAATTGCGGATTTCGTGTAATTTTTTGAAGATACCACTGACAAAACGTCAAACGCATTGGAAAATCAATTGGAAGTAATGCCTGTACTCTTAAAATATGGTGAGGATATAACAAAAAATCCACTAAAATTGTTCAAACAATTTGATGACAAATATTTAAGTGTCTAGCGATCTTCCTCGTACTGGTTTCAGGATTTTCTTCGACTTTGTGCAGCACTCTTTCCTCAATTCCAGGTGTTCTCACACTTAGAGGTCTACCAACATATGTTCCGTTTCGGACAGAACCAGTTTTTTTAATACTCCGACTACCACGAAGGCCTAAGGCCTAAACACCAATGGGGTACCGTGAGGCTATAGGGGGATACAGGGGAAAGGAGGAACGCCACACGGACTCTGGCGAGGGAACACGTGTGCAAGCAACATGCATACATTCTAGCCCCGAAAACGAGATCCGCCGGGTGCTACCTCCGCGTTCAACAGTCGGAGACCGTCTACCACCTACGGACAATCACAACATCCATAGCCAAGAGAATAATTTCTCATGGGACGGGATTCGAACCCGCACAGCGCACGGCGACTGATCAGGAGACCGAAGAGTCTACCACTGTGGGTACCTCCAAAAAAATCTTTGTTATATTTCATTGAGTAGCGCGCACTGTATACGACAGGCATGTTTATTATGAGTAGAGGTGTACGAATAGCGAATAGCTTTAGATACGAAGCTACGAACTCTGCAGAACCACGTAATGCAATACCGCAATAGCAAATAAAGACTCATAGGCACAGATAGCATACATATAAATATCGCGCTTACCTCATATGCACGTCACGGGCTCCTGTGAGTAACGCTACGGCCACGGCGTATCGCACGCCAACATTTATGCGGTCCGCTGTATTCTAGCGGCGCGTACGATTGTGGAGCCAGCTTTTGGAGCTACCTTCATACCGGATTTACATGCAGCCCACTTCCACGGCCGTGAGCAGGGAAGTGGGCAGCGCCAATAGGTAAATACGCAGCTCGCATTGCCAATTCTCATGCCGCTGCCGCATGCTCCCTTCGTTCGCGGTTTTTTGGACGGAAGTCAAAGGACCAGCAGCACGAGCGGCAGCGTCCGTTCACATGCTGCCCGCTGTACCAACTGTCAGTCCTGTCCTTACCACGTGGACGCGAGGTATCTTAACCTAATTTATTACTTTTTTGGCAAATTATTCGTTTTAAAATAAACTTAGACCATGATTGAGTGGAGCAATGATCAAGTGTTGAAGTTTTTAGAGCTATATGTGGCTGAAAGATTATTATGGTAGGATTGAAAAAGATCCCAATACAAGAGCTTGAGTCGAAAAAAAAAATCGCTAATGGCAACATTTCGGCCGCTAATTAAAAAAGAAAGACGCTTCTATTAGATGCAGGAGCGGGTGCAGATGAGGTGTGTCAGCCCATTTGGTTTGCATTTGATGTAATGGAAAGTTTTTTGGAAGCAGTTTATGGTAGGTTAGAAGGGTGGCTGCATGTAAACACTCACTTGCTCGTAATGCTGCCGTGGAATTATTTACGGCAGGACAGTGGGCAGCGCGAGTGGCAGCGGCAGTGGCTGCATGTAAACCCGGTATCACATGCATTTCAAGAAGTCTAAATAAAATATTCATGAAACATTGTTTTCACTTTGCATGCTATTAAAAATGTTTGAAAAAGAAATCTTAAAAACAAAAATTTCCATCCCTTGAAACGTACTCGAATAATAATAATGTTTATTTATTATAACATACAAAATCGTAATTTATACGCAATAAATCATAAAACGCCCAAAGGAGCATAATTTTTATTTATTGTACATTGTACCATTTATGACTTTGAACATCATAATAATGAAATTCGGACGTACCATGATTTTTTGGACTAACCCCTTGATTATTGCTAATTTGAGGGGTCAAATATAGTCAACAGAATGTGTATATACAGACATGGATTTTTATGTTCTGTATGAGAACAACAAAAAAAGCCCTTTTTGATGCTATGCCCATATGGATTTCCGTGTATCAATAACCTTTCTATCAACAATATCCGAAGATTCCTTGATGCCATTGTCAAGTTCCTGGTTGTAACGATACATCATAAATATTGCTCGGCAAATGATTATCAAAGTTATTCCACCAATTAAGCCAGCAATCTGAAAAAAAAATCAGTAGAAAAAATTCTCATTACTGACACATCATCTTCAGAATTAGAATTGTTACGCCGGGAATACACTTGAGCCGAGGCAAGCCGCGCACCAACGAGGCACCCTTGGCGCGCCGCAATGCGCTAGTGTGTACCGCGCGCCAACACAGCTGCGAACAGGCTCGGTTTGCCTCATGCAGTGCGCGACCTGAGCTACCGGCTGTCGGTCCATCAAAGTGAGTTCCGGCCGAGCCGTGCCTCCTTCGTGCGCAGCGAATATAGAGTCTATTTTTGGTTATTTACAAATTGTGGGACTAACTTCTGTACTTAAATCTAGGCATTTTTCATGGCTCCACTGCGATCTGAAAGATAAATTATTAATTTGATTTTTATTTCAATTCCCTGTCCTCGCGTGCAAATTCAATGAAATTAATCAAGCTTACATAGTTTTCGTCGACACCTTCTAATCTTCTACAAGTCAACGAAGTAATTAAACAAAAAGAAAAGGAAATCAAAATGAACCGCTTCACTAAATAAGTCATCACTGAGCATGTGCTCCTGTACGGATCAGCTGTGAGAATGCCGCGGCTCGCGTCAACATGTTGTTTCGGTGTATCGCATTTCGTTTAGAAACGCAACTCGACCTGTTGTAAAGTACGAGATGCAGTGGACTGACATCAACAGTTCGACACATATTTGTCACATGAATACTGGCGAAGTTGTATTCATTAAAATGTGATGGACGTTCCGTACATGATATCCAGCAGTCTATGATGTCTTACATCACGTTACGCCGGGAATACACTTGAGCCGAGGCAAGCCGCGCACCAAACGAGGCAGCCTCGGCACGCCGCGATATGATTTGCCGCGAAACGAAATGCGATTCCTGAAACAACGTGTTGACGCGAGGCGCAGCATGCTCGCAGCTGATCCGTACAGGAGCACATGCTCAGTGATTACTTATTTAGTGGAGCGGTTCATTTTGATTCCCTATTCTTTTTTGTTCTATTACTTCGTTTAATTGTGGAAGATTAGCAGACGTCGAAGAAAACTACGTAAGCTTGATTAATTTAATTGAATTTGCACCCGAGGACTGAGGGAATTGAAATAAAAATCAAATTAATAATTTATCTTTCAGATCGGAGTGGAGCAATGAAAAATGGCTAGATTTAAGTACAGAAGTTAGTGGCACAATTTGTAAATAACCAAAAATAAACTCTATATTCACCCTGAGGCAAATGCTGATCGAAAATTCCGTACACACTGCGCACCGGCCGGTGCTCACGTTATGTTACTGAAACACATAGTTTTTAGGAGGGTTGATGTCTATGCTCCACCCCTCATCCCCTTGTACAATGAAGCTACATTTATTCCATATGTTCTATTTTTCTTCTCAATCCTTTACTTACATCAATGCTTTTTATTATATTTATATTTTTTATCTGGTACGCAATTCATTAGTCTACCGGTAAAAGTTTTGTCTGACTGCTGAAAAACACTCCTCTACTTCAGATATCACCTGTTCTGTGGCTGATATGAAAATTTCTTTTCTGGTAAATTTTGTTTTAATTTTCGAAATATGAAGTTACTGGAAGCCAGAACGGGCGAATGTAGTAGGTAATCTACCAAGTTGAAGTCTAATTGGTGTAGGGCAGCCAAATAAGTGAGAGCATTATCCCGATGAAACAAAACGCAATTTGTCGAACTTCCTCGGCGTTTCTGTTTAACAGCATCTCGCCATTTTTAGATTAAGTTTGCATTTGCATAACAGGTCCCTGTAATTCACCAAACCGCCATCTGGAAATTTTCATCTGTCAATTTCACGATAAAATATAGTAGGAGTATTCCCACATCTATTTAAAAAAATACGGTAGAGAGACCTTTTTAAAACGCATTACATAGACTTAATATTTTGCTTGCACCTTGTTTTACTGTCAACAACATCGATCAAGTGATCATCTTCAAGGGGTTAGGGGCGGAGCATAGGGATTAACCCTTGTAGGCCATTCGTATACAACAGCACGAGGTTTCGTGTAGAAAGCGCTGCTTACAGGTACAAGGAGAAGACATAACTAGTAATCGACTGTATTTTAAACCCTGCTCTGGGATTATATTTTTAAATATCTATATAATACATACCCCTGGAGCGGCAGTGCGCCTGCAGTCTGCATACGTTAATATAGAGCAAACCAATGAAGTGATAGAAGTTAACAGAATGATTGTGATGTCCTAAAAATGCAAACGTGTTATTGCTGATCGTTCTGAATTCTGTTTGGTTAATAAAAACAGGAAAAGATTTTTTTTGTCAGAAAACACTTATTGCATATTAGAGTCAAAAGAACCCTTGTCATCAATGACGATGTGGACTGTTACTGAACTAATGTTAAATGTATGGAAGTAGGATAAATGTCAATTACTAGTATATTTTGTCACGCTATCAGCATTGCATTTACACAGGGTGTTTCGTACATGAACTATGGGCGATTGGGGACGCTATTTGGTGTATTTTGATGGAAACCGCATTGCTCTAAGGGGTTACCGAAATATGACGTTTTTCGTTTTTTTTTGCTGAATTACCTACACTTGCCCATAAATATCGTTATAACTTCATTGTTTCTAGAAATAATGACACAAAATAAACATGAGTCTGGAAAGGCAATAAATTACATAAGTTTTGTAAGTAAAACTAGGTTTGAACAAATGTATAGTTTTTTTATAATCAAATTTCGAATTTAAAATTATATATACACTCCATGTGATTGAACGACTATGGAAGGGATAAGTTATTTGTTTGAGAAGATGTGCACGAACAGTTTATTGATCTGATTGAGTATATATAACAGAACAGACTAATAGTGATAACGATATTTATGCGTAATTGTATGTAATTCAGCAAAAAAAAACGGAAAACGATCATATGTCGGTAACAGTAGCCCTTAGAGCATTGCGGTTTCCATCAACAATCATCAAATAGCGTCCACAAAAGTCCAAAAAGCTTTGTTAGTTCATGTACTAAACACCATTGTTATAACCCTACACCAGACTATTACGAGTATATACGTACCAAATACATATATCCAAAATCCAGGATTTTTCGCTGCTTCTCCGATACAAAAAATAAAATACAACACAAATTGTGTCATCACGGAAATACCCGAGCTCACTGGTAGGATGTATGGATGCCAAGATGAAGTTCTCGCACATCGTTTCTCAGAAACAAAAAATGCCACAGCAAACAAGTGGCTCAACTGCAAAAAATGGAAGATACCTGACATACACATCATCCTACTTACAAATATAGCTGCGAAAAGGTAAACCCCAGTATGCATTCTCGGAATATCCTGCTCGAGGGAACAACATCGATTAAAAAATTTGTTTCACCAACATCTGCGGGATTAACAGCAACATTGATGCTGTTCACCACCACCTACAGTCTAATCGTTCCGCCATACTTTTCTTGGCCGAGACCAAAATCTCATATTCTGTATCGATTAATTATCTTGGTTTCCCAAATTACGAGGTGTATTATAATACGGGGGATTTGTGGCTTTTTTCCGCAGCAGTCTTTCCTGCTCCAAAGACATTTATTTGGAATCAGTCCGGAAGGACATGCTGTGGCTTTGTCTCAACTCCAAAACATTCCCCAAAATTTGCTGCCTTTATCGCTCTCCCTCGGACCATAACTTGGATGACGTACTTGAATACCTCGTCAAGATCGAATTCTTGAACACCTATCACCCCGCTTCCGAGGTAGTTCACGGTGATTTCAATCCCATAAAGAGTTCTGGTTGGGCTCAAACAAGACCGATGCAGCAAGTTGTGCTGTTGAAGCGTTCGCTTTACCCAAGGACTGACCCGGATGGTAACGAGCCCTACTTTTCCACCAGCGTTTCGTCACACGCCAGTAGCCTACTGGATCTCTTTCTGAGCATACATCCTATCCCTTACAGCACTGCTGTTCTGTCTCCCCTGGGTAACTCAAACCACGGTGTTGTGGAAGCACGGTTTTGATCAGAATCCGCTGTGGCAGCAGAAACTCGCCCAGGCCGCAACATTTGGTATTACGGGCATGCCGTCTGGGAGGAGCTCGGAGACTTTTGTCCACCTTTCCTTGGAGATGTTTCTTTCATCAGTAACTGAAATTTTATCCACGTTGGGATGTAGAAATACATCCCTCATACAGTGAAAGTGCCTAAACGCGCGTCACTGCTCGTCAGCAGAAGATCAAGGCACACAGAACCTTTTTACAAAACCCCATTGCAGAGTCCAGGTACAAATATAACGAAGCAGTCCGCAATGCCAACGACCAGCACTATATAAAAATTAGGCTCAGGGTAATGTCGCAGTCTTTCAGGACTTTCAGATTGAAAGGAACTTCTCACAGAGTAGCCTTCCACCACCTACGTGCCAGGATGGAATGATTGTAACCATCTCAAAGGCTAAGGCGGAAGTGCTTGCTAAAATATTTGCTGTCAACTCCACCATGCACGTCACCCCCAAGTACGAGTGCCGACGATTCAAAGGGTTCCCTACACTATGAGTGAAGTAGCATTCAGGCATAAGAAAGTAAGACGTGTGCTCTTGCAGCTCGACATGAATAAAGCGGAGCCTGCTCCAGTTCTTTCGCGCCTCTTCCAGATATCCTATGAAGTCGGCATCGTCCCAGAAAACTGGGAATTTGCTCATGTCATCCCAAAAAAGGGGTCTAAGACCGACCCTTCTAACTACATATAATTCTGCTTTCTGTTATAAGGTGATGGAGAGTTGCGAGCTTCTGGAGTATATGTAACGTCATGGCGGTCTAAATTATGAATTTAACAGAATCATATTTACCATTCCTGCTACTTTAAATGCACCAGTTTTTGTCGTCAGAAATTTTCCTGGCTTTAATGTTTTCCTCACAAAGTTTTCGTATGTGTTTTTGACTGGAGACAAGTTATTCAAGAACAATTGTGACTTCCTTCTTACTGCTTCTTCTGCCATTTCTTAAATAAATATTATTATGCACTTATGTATACCTTGCAGATAAAACAATGAAACGAATTGCACAGATTTTGCGCCATATTTCTATATATCTTATCTATAGGTACATTTTTATCGATATGCACTATTATTTAGCAGAAAAAAGTTCATTACCTCACATCAAATGATTTAATAATAAATGTACAATAATAAAACACAACGTATCATGCAAAGGCTTTGCAAGCCCCCCCTTTGAATATTATAAAAAAATTGTTGAGCCTTATTTGTTCGTGGTAGAAACATACATTTAACAAAAGTTATTTGAAGTGTTTAAATTATGGAAACAACGCAGTAAAAGGAAAAGTAAATTGCGTGTTTTATAGAAATTGCATGAAAACACTTTAATGTAAATAACATACATAAAAAACATACAATTTTTACAATTTTTTATAAATAATCTATTAACATCATTATTACAATATCACACAGCATTATACTTAACCATTAGTTTTAATTCTTGGTTTAGATTAAGGGTAACATAGGCAGGGGCGTTTATTATAGTTTTAAGAGAAAATATAAATTTTGAAAGGAAAAGTTTTAATATTTTTCTATAGGCCAACATGATTTTTCTACTTCGTTTTCACATGGTGATTAAATGATATATTCTAATTTTTTAATGTGCACGAACTTAACAAAACGTGATGTTTTTATAAACCTTCTTTCTACATTAGAACCTCTTTCTAACTTTGTTGTCTGCAAACTGAGAAATAGCCTCATCAAAATCGATCTCTTTGGCTACACTACTGTCTTTAGATAAAATGCTATTACACTTCATGTTCAAATAGCAAATTAGGATGAAGCCACAATTGTAGCGATATAGGGCTGGCACCTAAGGCGGTCACCCTTCTCTCCTTCCTACGCCACTGACTTCCTCCACTATCAGGCTTCTCAAAATGTTTAATAAATACGAGGCTTGTTCAATTGAAACCCATCTTTGGTCAGGTTAGGCTTGGAAACAATTCAAATAACTTAAATGACGTTTTGCAATCAAGTCATCGTTGATGGTTGTCAGAGCGGTCCATGGGACCTTAGCTCTTGAGTCACAGTGTCAGTTTGTAAGTCTGTCAGGTCTTGTAACCCAGAAACCAGACAATTTTAAGGAAAAAAGGGAAGGAAAGGGGAGAAGGAAGAACGAGAGCAAAGGGGAAGAAGATAATCTTTTAGGATAGGCAGCGTTTAGGCATTGTTAAAATCACCTCACAGATTTTGATATGGTCTAAAAATATTCGATTTTTTTCTAAAGGTTTTGTCAAAATGCTCCAATTTTGGTTGTTCTAAGTTCACGAATTAATTTTGATTACAGTGCGAGCCGCGGCCTTTAGTGCTTGCGAACTTGCTCTACTGTGTAATCCACTGACTCGCGCAACAGAGGGTTGTTGTGCGATTCCGCTAGGCTATAGCGCAGCTGCGACTGTTGCTTAATGTAGTCCTTTAGGTAAGGGACATCGAGGCCTATATGAAGAGTTTCGTTAGAGACATATCATGGGGCGTCAGCAATAGTGCGCAACGGCCTGCTTTGCAGAACCTGCAGATTTCGCATGCGTCTTTTAGTAATAAAACACCAAGCCGCACATGCGTAAGTAATTGCTGATGTTATGACCACCTTATAGAGTCGAATGTTGTTAATGAAACTTAATTTTGAACGTTTACATAATAATAGGTAAAGCTGTCGAAACGTAATTTAGTTTTTAGCGCTTCTATATGATTCCGCCAAGTCATCCCTTTGTCCAGAATGACAACGAGATACTAAGCGGATGATTCCCATGGTATACGAAGTCCATCCGTTGAAACTTCAGACGGAACGCCGCGACGTCTTTTTGTACAGTAGATTACCTGCGTTTTCGAATGGTTAATTTTAATTAGCCACCGATCCGCCCAAACTAATACTTCCTCCACTGCACTTTGCAGTCTGTCATGGACTAGGTCACCAGACCACGACTGAGCCACCAATGCAGTATCATCAGCATAGAGATAGACTTCACAGTTGCTGGGGCTAGGGAGGTCATGGATGTACAGTGAGTAAAGGATAGGTCCAAGGACCGAACCCTGAGGGACGTCGGCTGTAATCAGCCGTGTTCTCGACAGGACATTGTCAATTTTGATCAGAAATTTCCTACCTTCAAGGAAGGAATTCAGAAGTTTTAGAAAGAGAAGCCCTTTTGGATTAGTTTACAGGAGGCCCGTGTGCCACACCTTGTCAAATGCTTTTGAGACATTCAAAAGCAAGATGCCAGTACTTTCGTAAAGGGTATATCCTCCGGTTACTCGTTCCACCAGCCTAACCGCATGTAGCTCCGTACTATGTTCAGACCGAAAACAGAACTGCACGTCAGGAATCATATGGACATCTGACGAGAAATTCTCAAGGTGACGTAGAATCACCTTTTCAGCGAGCTTAGACGGAGCTGACAGCAGGCTAATGGAACGACAATCCTGGGGAAATATCAAACCCACCTTCTTTGGAATCATTATAACTTCAGCGGTCTTCCACGCGGATGGGAAGTATTGGGTACTTAGCATGGCATTGACTATTGCCACGAGATAAGTTAAGGACTTCCGCGAAAGCAGCTTTTGCGCCTTTTTAGTGATTTGATCCTCCCCAGGTGCTTTACGCACTTTAAGGTCTATAATATGACCTTTAATCTTTGCTGGTGTGCAATGCGGGATCTCGGGAGATTCCGCTGATGTGCTAAGCTGATCTTCGGTTGAAGAAGCTTCTGAAGCATCTTCTGATGAAGAAAAATCAAAAAAGGTAGCGCGACTGTCACTGACGCCGTTGGCCCTAAAATATCTCCTGACAGATCCTACCATGTGTTGCTCCTCGTCGAGGTCATTATCAAGATCATGGTGGGCGAAAACCTCAACCTTTTCCTCTGTCCTGAAGAGGATGCCTCCAGGACCGTGGATGTGTGGGATTTGTTCAGGCTTTCCGTGTCTGAGCGACTTCGCCACCTTCCAGAGAGGAATACTTGAGTCAAGCATCCCCGCCCAAAAGTCGTTCATTGCGGAATTCATGAAGAGCATTTCTTACTTCATGAACAAGATTCGTCGCTCTGCGAATGTCATCAGGATGACAAGACCTTTTCGCTTGCTTAATTGCAGCCCTTTTATCATACATTTTCTGACGAATGACTGCTGGCAGAAAAGGTCTGCCGTGTCGCTGCTCGGGAAGTACAGCTGCACGCTGCAGAGCTTACTGAACAAAACTTGTCCTCTCCGCTTGTGCCCCATCTATGTATACCGTTCTCATCACCTATGATCGGAATATTGGGGAATTCTCTGAGGAGCGACTTGTATAGCTCCCAATCAATTCGTTCGTTTCCTTGGGGGGTTTCATCCTCCAAGGACTGCTCATTAGCCACTTCCAAAACGACGGGAATATAATCGCTTGAGATGTCATACATTTTTCGAGAAGTGATACTGTATCTACAGTTTTTGGATATTGCAAGATCAAGAACATCAGGTGCCTGAAGGTGATTAAATGGGTGGGGCGTCGGCTCCTCAGTACTATGTATGAGGTAGCCATTTCGTATCACATGGTTGTACAATTGGATCCCACTGGTGGAATTCAACCTAGAATGCCATGCTCGATGTTTACACTTGAAGTCCCCTGCCAACAATAAGTGGACCCGAGCAGTCTAAATGGATTTCCAGATCCGCCTCTTGCAGCCTGATACCACACCTGACATACACCGATGTGATTTTTAACGGCACACCTCCCGTCTTATTGACCACCATGGAAGCCGCTTCGATGCTCTGCATCTCAGCGTTTGTGCTTCTGTGGTAGTCAATACCGCATTTCACTAGCACTGCCAAGCCGCCACCCCGCCCAGTCAATCTATCAGCTCGGATAACATCGTAATTCGGATTATGTAATGTTTCCTGCAGCAAGGCCACATCTCTACTTTCGTCCACAAGAGCTTGATGAAATTCCCGTTTTTCGGGAATGTCCCTTAGACCCAAACAATTCCAAAAAAGAATTTTGATAAATGCAGGCTGTCGTCTATTGTACCTAGTCATTTGCAGGAAAGATCGCCTGCAAAGCCTGTGTTGCGCTAATCAGATTACTTATGATCTGCTGTAAGGACCTTAGCTCGGTTGCCAGGTCCACATTTTGCGTGTTCGCAGAAGATCCCACAGAGAGAAAAGCCCGGGTTGCATCCCTAGTTGCATCCGCGTAACTTACATTGCGCCTTTGCGCTATCACTTGCAGATTTTTCCTATCGGCAAATCTGCAAGTTCGGCTATTCGCTGGGTGCCCTCCTCCACAGTTCGCGCACTTTCATTCCTCTTGTTCTGTTTGAGGGCATAAGTGGGTCATGTGGTCAGAAGCACATTTTAGACACGGCGGTGCAGTACAGTAAGATTGCGCATGCTCATATTTTTGGCAGCGGTGACACTGCCCGATGAGTCTTGAGTTCTTTTGAAGTTCGACTCGGATAGCCCAGCCTAGCCGCTCATGCTCGTTGAATAGCTGCTGAGATTTTTCTATTTTGGGCAGTATGACTACCAAAAAAGGCATGGGCACGCCGCCACCACGTTTCAGGCGAATTATGTGCAGGGGGGCATATCCCTTCTGTTGCAACTCTTCCTTGATCTCCGTTTCCGAAAGTGTCGCAGGTACTCCTCTGATTACAGCATAAATGTTCCTCTCCGAGGGTAGAGCGAAAGTGTGGTGGGGCACCTCTTCCTCCCTGAAGAGACGAATAATCCTGAGATGATCATCCTCGGACTTGGGAATTATCCTGAACCGCGCGTTCGAATTTGATGCCCAAAGAAATAAACTAGTGATTTACACAAGTCCCTTGCATGGAAGTTGTGCAGTCGTGTCTTCTGATACCTGAGATGTCGAGGGCGTAGAAGTAACCGATAGATTAGGCACAGGCTGTTTATTCGAGTCGTTTGCAGTTGAACGAGACGTTTCAGACTGCGATTTTGGTGGTGGGAGAGGAAAAAATCCTGTCATGTCGGTCTTGTTTCGTCGCGTTTTACGAGGCTTAACCGTGACAAAGCCATCAGGGAGAGTATCATCGTCAGTGGAATGATCGCTTGAATTATTTAACGGTCTCTTAAGATTGACAACTTTGTCTTTTTTTGTTGGAGTGTTTGGGAAGAATGTGTAGTATGTAGATGGGAAGGTACCTGGGTTTTTAGTAGGAGGTCTAATTTAACTGTTAGGTCGTTAATTGTCCGCTGCTGGGCTTCGATGATCATCATCCTTTTTTGACAGCTCCTGTCGAACCATCTCCAATTCGACTCTCAACTCCTCTACGGTCTGTCATTTCCTGACTCCCCTGGGTCAGTTTCTATAGTAAATATCTCAGTTATCTCGCTTTTCGTCTCAAACATTTTCCGGATTTTAATTACGGGACAGCTGCTATCAGTGCCCTATACAGGGCGATTCGACGTTTTGCAATGTTAGTTGTGTTTGTAAACGTCACACTGATCAGTTCCTTTCATTTGTATTTGAGTGCGATTTTAAGTATTGTGACCTAAAAATGGCGTGTGTTGTTAACAATCAGTCCAAATATAATCAGCGTGCGGCCATTCAATTTTTGTGTGCTGAAGGATTGCAACCATTGCTAATTCATACGCGAATGCAAGCAGTGTATGGAAACCCATGTTTTGCTGAAACAACAGTGAAGGAATGGTGTCTAAAATTTAAGTGTGGAAGAGAGGAAACGAATGATAAGCCGCGACCAGGTGCATTCAGTACTGCATCAACAGACAGGAAATTGGCATGTGCTTAGAGAACAATTTCAATCAGCAATTTCAGAAAATGTTGGTCCATAGTATCGTACACAAATTGGGTTACAGCAAAGTTTGTGCGTAAGGGGTTCCTCGCCTTCTGTCCGAGGACTAAAAAAGCTTGCGAATGGGCTTATCTTTGCAACATCTCACGGAATACAAGCTAAACGGTAATGACTTTCTTTCGTCAATAATTGCTGTCGACGATGTAATGTGAAGAAAGCAGTTTCTGAGAGCTGAGTAGTACAGATATTTTTAGTTATTGCCCTTTCATTTACTAGTGTTAAGCCTAACAAAATGCCTCGAGTTCGAACACGTCCAAATTATCACTATGTTGGCGACTTTGACAGGGGTAGAATTATTGCCTATCGAGATGTTGGTTTGGAAATTATTTTTTCTGGGTGTAACACTTCTAATCGCACGGAGTATATATTTGATAATAATTTTTTTCTGGACCAAAGATGGGTTTCAACTGAACAAGCTTCGTATGTAGCATCATAATCTTAGTCTTTGTATTTCAGCATTATCGCAGGCAGATGCGTTGCTGCTACAACTACAATACTCAGGATGACGTCACATCAGTTGTGTATCTACTGAAAGCCTGATACATCCTTCTTCCTCTTCAAAGGACATTATCGGCTTACGACAAAATGTTTGCACGCAAACTTGTCCTTTTGCTATTTCAATTCCAAGATCTTTCTATTGTTCTATCACATAGATATTTAAATGGTGGCCATACAAGCATAAAATAACACTTTTTCCAATACGTGTAACAATATATTCTCAATCAGATTAAAAAATAAATAAATATTGTATGACAATTGAGGTATGTATAATATGTATGTAAAATAGGAATGTTTACACTTATAAGTAAATACATAAAACTGAAATAATAATATGTTACAAATATACATTTTCCTTATCCAAAGCAGATAGTTCTTTGGTTCTTTGAGCCTTTTTGTATTCTTTATGTTTTTCTTGTACTGCTATGAAATGGTCTAGCATGCGCTGAAAATCTAATAGCGCTTCTTGTCCCTTTTTCGTCTTTAATATTTTACTGAAACAGAAACAACTTTTCAAATACGATATTCCAGTAAAAAAACTAGGTTATACAATACCTACAATAAATAAAGAATGAGTGAGATTTTTTTATCCCTTCATCGCACCTTAGAGGGCTTTTAGATCATTCCAAAACAATCCTAAATATCATGTCAGAGAATTATTTTTTGCTCTGTTCACAGCATATTATAATTATTATGATAACGTTTTTACCATGGGGGGTCAATTTTTGAAAAAGATGGAGTGAATAATGACCAGCCATGACATTTATGGCAGTTTTTGCCGTTTGGTTAGACGTTTAACAATTAAGTTTATTATTCCACTCATTTTCAGAAAGATAATAGATATGTTCCTAGGTTCTCTTCATAATGCTTGAATATTTCACTAAGTTAGCTTCGTCTTTCGGATTTTAACCCTTTTTCTCGTAAGAATTACTCCGGAAAGCGACTTTTCCATCAGTGTTATAGTTCGCTGAACTTCCATTTCCTATCAGTTATTCTACTCTCGCGTCTTCAACAATTGACCCCCATGCTTTCTTCTGGGCAAAACATTAGTTTTTGGCTAAATGATTTATTTTAGCTTCTTAAAAAAGCATTGGACTACGATAATAATCAACGATATCGACAGATAGACGAAATAAGTATTTCTCAATTACCCAACATACACTTTTTACTTACTTGTCATCACAGTGGAGATGTAAGCTTGGTATGCAGCTCAATCTTGTCTTCAGGGTATTGAATGCTTGTGTTTGAGGCAATAGCATCAGAAGACCATACAAAGCTCTGAGTAGATTCTGGTCGCACGGAACCTCCAGCAGTTCCAACCTTAAGTCTGCAATATTCAAAATATGATATTTACATCTGTTTTTGTTTTACCGATTATAGGATTAGTTCACAAAGCCGGCGGTGACGTTTAGTGAGTTTGTCTAAAAAACTTTGTTATAGGTGTACTGTTATCATTGGTCCCATAAACCAAGAGACCTATGCCCTGTTTAAATGTGATTTACTCCACGTCAAAACACGAGCACGATCACACCTTTTTTGACATCGCGGACTGGTATTTGTTTTGACGGGAAATAAATGAGATTTGAATACATAATATAGTTGACTGCTATGAATAAAGGCCGTAAGAAGATTATAGATTACTACGATCATAGAAAGTAAAGTTTACTGATTGCTTACAAGCAAATATTGGAGATTCGATCAGCTGGACGAGTTTGTCAATATCGGTGAGGAAATTAACAGTAATTTCTAAGTTTCCACTGTAACACATTAAGGAAAATAATTAGATAATATATCGTTTTTTTGTACACCGCAATAACAGCTATGGTGTCCTGTTACGAATTTGATTTCATAGTGCATTTTCTGTAAAATTATACGAAACGAAATGAATTATTCAATGTTCGCATGCAAGTATCAAGGCTTGAAATCTGTACATCTATTGTACTGAGCAGTCCAACCGCAAGGGAAAGCTTTTTTTATTAAATTTGGAATAATCTTACGTGAGATCATTACAAAGAATCACGAGAGGAGCCATTCCACTGTGTGGCTTGCTCGACATTTTCCAAGGATTCTTCTTTTCCATCCGGGATGCCAGCTCTAAGAGTGAGACCTTCCTAAGCTCCGATTAATTTCATTTATTCTTAATAATTGTACTAGTCTAATATTAGCAAAGGACCCGGCAACACGCCTATAGGAAAAGTGGTTTCGGTTAATTTCGCTGAATTTTCTATGTTATGCGCCTTGGCATCCTTAACAAATGTTTCAATGGCCACAGGCCCCTAAACTCAACGGGTTCCAAGATATAGGCCGTCCAAGTCGGTAGATACTTAGATAGATAGATAGATAGTTTATTGTCCTATTAGATCATGTTACATGATATAAGACTTGTCAATATCATAATATAATGGAGTATCGTCTATACTCAATTTCTGCGTTAAGTGGAAGAGCGGTTACGTTAATTTTGCTAAATTTTTCATATGTTATGAGTCTCGGCATCCTGAACAAATGCCTTGATGGACACAGACCCCAAAACTCAACGGGCTCCATGATATAGGGCGTCCAAGTCAGTATAATGTACCAGTTCCACTCGAATATTTGCTTTAAATACGTGTGGTTTAGGTTAATTTCGCTGAATTTTTTATACGTTATTTGCCACGGTGTCCTCAACAAATGCCTTAATGGGCCACAGGCCCCAAAACTTGAAAGGTCCGAGTCGGTATAATGGGGTGTCGGATTTACTCAGCTATCTGCTCTATCTAACGGTGGGCTGAAAAGTTCGTAGGCTCACACATAGATGGCACTAATAGTATTAAAACCATATAATTTTCAGTTAGCGCTAACCTTCAAAAGACGCGTGTATAAATTTGACAGCTGTTGCACTATTAGTACCTGAGTTATAGAATTTTTAGTGAAAGAACTTTTGTTCCTTTGAAAAAATGGATGAAAAGGAATTTCGTGTGTTAATAAAGCTTTTTGGCGACAAAATACTGTTGAAATCAAGGCTTGGCTTGATAAACATTATTCGGACTTTGCACCAGGAAAATCTACCGTAGAGAAGTGGTTCGCTAAATTTAAACGAGGCGAAATGAGCACCGAGGACGATGCACGCAGTGGACGCCCCAAAGAGGCTGTTACAGACGAAAACATAAAAAAAGTCCACAAAATAATTTTTGATAACCGTAAAGTGAAGTTGATTGAGATAGCTGAGACCCTAACGATATCAAAGGAACGTGTTGGTCATATCGTGAATGAATATTTGGAGATGCGAAAGCTCTGTTCAAAGTGGGTGCCGCGCGAGCTCACAATCGACCAAAAACAACAACGAATCGATGATTCTAAGCAGTGTTTGGAGCTGTTTAATCGTAATAAATCCGAATTTTTGCGTCGATATGTGACGATGGATGAAACATGGCTCCATCATTTCACACCGGAGTCCAGTCGACAGTCAGCCGAGTGGACTGCACGTGATGAACCGACTAAAAAGCGTGGAAAGACGCAAAAGTCGGCTGGCAAGGTTATGGCATCAGTATTCTGGGATACTCATGGTATAATATTCATTGATTATCTCAAAAAGGGAAAAACCATAAACAGCGACTATTACGTAGCGTTATTGGAGCGTTTAAAAGACGAAATCGCGGAAAAGCGGCCTCATCTGAAGAAAAAGAAAGTGCTGTTTCATCAAGACAATGCACCGTGTCACAAATCAATCAAATCGATGGCAAAATTGCATGAATTGGGCTTCGAATTGCTTCCGCAGCCACCGTACTCTCCAGATCTGGCCCCCAACGACTTTTTTCTGTTCTCAGACCTCAAAAGGATGCTCGCTGGACAGAAGTTTCGCGCCGATGAAGAGGTAATCGCCGAGAGTGAAGCCTATTTTGAGGCTCAAGACATCGTATTATAAAAATGGTATCGAAAAATTGTATGGCCGCTATAATCGTTGTATCGCCCTCGAAAATTTTTCTATGCCAGCCTACGAACTTTTCAGCCCACCTGTTAGAAGCGTAGGGTTTCGGTTAATGTGAATGTGAATTATGTCAGTAGACAGGGCATTAAGAGCTATAATGATTCGTTTTGTGCCGGCAAATATTGGCCTTGGAGCAATAACTCGTGATCAGTTCATCGAAGAGCATGTGACTCCGTTTGCAAATGAATTGTGTAATGAAAACCCAAATAATTTGAAGGTCATTTCAGTACTTGATGGAACTTATAGTTATATTGAAGAATCAGTAAATTACCGTACTTTGAGACAAAGTTATTCGGTTCATAAACGACATCATTTAGTAAAACTGATTATGATGACTGCATCAGACGGATACATTTTAGATATTCAAGGGGCGTATTTCTCAGATGTAAAAAAATTATGCCTCCATATTAATCAATCAGTTTGTAAAGTGATACCAGCAATATAAATCAATGGTTTCGAGATGGGGAGATTTTTGTTGTTGTTCAAGGATATCGAGATGCAGTACATTTCTTCAACTCACTACTGAAATGGCCAATCGGGCCCGCATGATTACCATGCAACAATGGATGGTTGAAGCACGAAATGGCCACGTAAATCCATTTATAAGTTTCTCGAAAACCTTATCCCGAGGCATCATGTCCTACATTTGAGAGATTTCTATTTAATCGCGCGCGGATTAATAAATAAATATCGAGTACCTATACAAATGGTAGATAAAACTATTGCTCTAGCACGAGGGATTAAAACTAAATGACCCGATTATGATACAAGCATTGGTTGAGGATCAAAATCTTGCGAGTAGACTTACCGTTTGGGAACATGAAAGTACCGAGATCTTTGAACTCGATATAAACAGAGACATTCCAGACCTCTATACGATTAGAATTTACTCTCGATTCACGAACGCGACCCTCTATCAATTATAGATATATTTTCGAATACATGGAAGCGATGCGATGAAAAAAAAGATGGAGAAGATATATTAGGATACTGTTGTACTTGTAAAGCAGGGGCAAGAACTTTGGGTTGTTGTAGTGTACATCGCCAGTATTCTGTGGTTTCTTGGATGGGCTCGGCATCAACAGCACATAAAGTACAATGCTTCTGCGATACATCCAGGATGCCGGTAATAGGAACATGAATGGCAATGGCGCTCAAATAGGAGAATTGATAGTTGATGGAGAAGATTGAGTTTATGCAGTGAAAAACAAAACAAAATGCAAGCATTGATTAAAAAATGATTATCGTCACTACTGGCCTTCCTTCCTTGAGTTTTTGTCTGAGTGTCCATCAATACATTAATTTAGGACGCCAAGACACACGGAATAACAGATTCGGCCAAATTAACCGAGATCACTTATCCAAGTAGAGCAGATATCTGAGTGGAACAGATATCTAGTTATACTGACTTGGGCAGCCTATATCTTGGGACCCGTTGGGTTTTTGTGCGTGTTCCTTTTGAGACGTGTATTCAGGATACCAAAATACATAGCACTTCACAAATTCAGTGATATTAACAGAAAGCACTATTCCAAGTAGACCTAGTGTAACCCATATTCCATCACACTGACTTGGACGCCCTATATCATCCGTTGAATTTTTGGGCCTGTGGCCATTAAGGCATTTGTTCAGGACGCCGAGACACATTACAGATACAAAAATTTAGTGAAATTAATCGAATCACTCTCTCACTTAGATATTCCAGTAGAACCGATACCTAATTATACTGGCTTGGACGGTCTATATCTTGGAACCTGTTAAGTGTTGGGGCTTGTGCCCAGTGAGGCATATGTTCAGGACGCCGAGATACATATCATACAAAAAATTCTGCAAAATTAACCGAAACCACTATTTCACTTAAAGCATATATTTGAGTATAACGAATACATTATACCGACCTGGACCCCCTATATCTTGAGATCCGTTGCGTTTTGGGGCCTCCGCCCATTAAAGCATTTGTTCAGGACGCCGAGATACATAACATATAAAAAATTCAGCGAAATTAACCGAAACCTCTTTTCCCATAGGCGTGTTGCCTCTTGAACCACTTGCATCAATAAAACCAGACTTTACAATTATTTTGCAAACCAGGGGTATTTTCGTTTAACATGATTAGACTATACCTGCACTAAAACTACATGAATATTTGAATTCAATGGGTTATTTATAAAAGGATACAATAACTTTATCAATTCACAAGAATGACTGTAGCATTGTGACAGTAAGCATAAAGCCACTGTGGCTACTGGATTGTGGCACCAAGTGTCATATAGGCAGCAGAATAACGTGCTGTTTTCCTGCGACAAAAATAGTTACTCAAGTAAAAATACAATTGATTTCCATTCTGAAAATTACAATAAACCATCTCCAATAGGTCAGTGAACATGTGAAATGTAAAAAACAAGTCAACAAAAAGCGCCATCATTCACCAGAATCGACCACTGCGGAGAGCGCATAGCTGCTATTATTTGGAACTGTTAAAGATCTCAGTTCACGTTTAATAGCCAAGTTACAACGTGGCCGCTAGATGGCTGACGATTCTGGCTGTAAAGTAGTTGTGGTCTACTTGCCATTGCCATTGAATGAACTAAACATGATGCCTTCGTCCGTCCGACCAAAAGTTAGCCAATCATGGGCAGCTGTTTCGTGCTTCTTGCAGCATGGTCTAGGCTTGGTCTCTTGTCTCTGGGACAACGAACGAAGCATCACAACTATCCTCTATGCATAAGGTCTATCGAAATAAGACAGCGCAAAGCGCCATCTACCACCAGGCCTAGACTATGCTGAAGATTAGCCAAGAAGCACAAAACAGCTGTCCATGGTTGGCTGTCTTTTGGTCGGACGGACGTTTAGAGAAAAAGAACTCGTAACATGCTGTATGACCTGATGGTGATGGATTAAAAAAGTGTTAAAGCTTGCATTGCATCTTATACTAGGTTATCAAGGCGATAGCAATCTGTAAATGACAGATATTGTAAACAAGCAGAGTGGTCCCACCAGTTTCGACCGACAAAAATACGAACCTTTTTACTAATGTCTTTTAGTCTATTTCTCAGCTCATACAGCTCTGAAGAGGTAAACAAAATCATATTCAAGTGCTCTACCATTAGACTAGCAAACTTTAGATTTGATTCTTTCAGTAGAATTTGGGCTAATGTTGTGTATATGTCTTCGGCATTGAGTAGAACACAGAGTTGTCTGAAAAACAACAAAAGATATCGTTTCAATTTTCGAAATACTCTTAATTTATCCTATATAATTTCTCAGAGGTATACATTCTATTCCTAATACCTTATAATAAATGAACCCCGTTCGACAAGAAGTCTTTTGTCTAGACTGAATGAGAGCAACAAGCTCACCATGAATTTGTGATAATACTCATTGGTGTCAGGTACTGCAAAAAATAGCACGAATTAGTTTGACAAAAATAAAATCAAGCAAACGAACGCCGGAGGTAGGTAGTTCTACTAGCTTATATTAAGACTAATATGATCCATAGGCACATGCGTCAGGACCATACATATGACAGATGCACTATTCTCACCAAGAGCAACCCGACGGCAAGTGACTTCAACCAGATTTGGTCTTGTTCTGAGGCTGTGACAAGTCACTAAGTACAGTTTGCGAAAATCAAAACTTCCCCAATTTGGGCCTAACCAGGATTCGAGCAAAAAATAGGATAGGTATAGCAATACGTATTTCTGCTTGTTGGCTTCATCAGGCCCGAAATGAATGCACATATACAATACGGGTGAAACCTGAGTAGATAGAGAGGGAACAAATACGTATTACTTGGGTTACCTATCCTATTTTCTGCTCGAATCCACTTTACTTGTTTTTGTAGATTTTGCACATTATTTTTTTCTATTTTCATTTCATTTCATTTCTTTATTGGTGCTAAATACACTTGCGTGCTTACACAGGTCAAAGTAAAATTTAAAATGCGAATGTGTCTAAAAAACAATAAAATTTGTTCAAACGAACAACATGAACAGAAAATTGTAAAAAACAACACTAACAGAAAAACTGTTAAAAGACATTATGAATTTAAAATAAATACAAAACTATAGAACAAGCACATCCCAACAAATTAACAAATAGAGTACAAGTAAAAAAGCACACTGCAGCACCAACATTAGAGATCCGAAAAGTTATTACTTAAAAATTCCTCGAAGTTGTAAAAGGCTTTCCGGATAAGGTACGCTTTAATTCTAAATGAGACGGTGCCAGACATTCTGAGTGCCGCAGGAAGAACATAATAGAAGTGGATTTCATAGTAGTTAGAACCGTTTCTAGTTCTTTGCAGACGAAGTTTAGGAATATCTAACTTATGCAAGTTACGTGTGTTGTAACTGTGCATCTTATTGAGATCTAAATTGTTGTGTACATAACATAAGCAGATAAATATATATATATAGAGATGGAAGAGTACGGATCCCTAGGTTGATGGATGCCTCCCTACATGGCTGCATATAACTCAGACCTACGATGACTTTGATGCAGCGCCTTTGGAGTGCAAATACCTTAGGCATATGCACAGAGTCACCCCAGTTCAAAAGTGCATATGACGTTGTTGAGTGGAAGTATCCATAATATGTGGTTAGCAACGTATCACGAGAAACACAGCTTTTCAGATTCCTAATTAAATAAATGGTCTTGGATAGTTCCTGAGAATACTGTTTACATGTCCCTCCCAAGTCATGTGTCTATCAACACTGACACCCAAAAATTTTACTGTGTCTACGGTATTGACGTTATGGTGACACAAACTTATTACCATGGACTGTGTCTTTGAAGCATTAAGTGTCAGTTTATTTGCTGAAAACCAATTTTCTAAATTTACTGTATATTCAATATTCGCAGACAAGTAGATCAATTGATTTACTACTACAGAGCATTGTTGTATCATCGGCAATCAGTATAAGGTTGTTGTTTGTATTACAATTGGGAAGGTCATTAATGTATATTAAAAATAAAATTGGACCCAGCACAGAACCCTGTGGGACGCCACATGAAACTATCATTGTACTGGAGGTAGTGTTGTTGAAGGTTTACAAGCTGCTGTCTGTTGCTCAAATAAGATGACAAGAGCCTAATGCTATTATTATGGAACTTGTAATGCGACAATTTTTGTAGAAGAATGTCATGTTGGACACAATCGAAGGCCTTAGTAAGATCAAAACAATTAGCTAAGCAATGAGCACCACTTTCAAAAGCTGCATTTATTTTCTCAATGAAGCTGTCAATAGCTAGAGAAGTAGACTTACCTGATCTGAATCCGAACTGACAGTCAGTAAATAGGCTGTTGCTTTCAAAATAGTCATTCAGCTGATCTTTCAAAAGAATCTCAAGTATTTTAGCGAGTAGGGGTATAAGTGAAATAGGTCTATAATTTGAAAGATCATTGGTATCGCCTTTTTTAAAGAGGGGGATAACTTTCGATAGTTTGAAAATATCAGGAAATATACCATTTGAAATACACCAATTGAATAATTTTGTTAATGGTATAATAATGAGATTTTGAATAATTGTAATAATTTTCGCATTGAAACCGAAAACAAAAACTTTTAGATTTATTTAATTTATCTATCGCTGCCCTGACTTGATTGTAAGTAACCTCCTTAAAAATAAAACCGTCTGTATGAGTTACCTCTTGCAAATAGCTCGTATGAGTTGAAGCTGAATATGGAATTTGGTCTAATAGATTATTTGCAATGTTAGTAAAATAAGTATTAAAGTCAGATGCGCTAAGCGTCGTGCTTGTGTGTTGGCTTTTCATTGGTTCGTTGTTTTTGATAACATTCCATACTGCTTGTTGTCTATTTTTAGCTTTTTTAATATAACGATCATTAGCTTGTTTTTTCGCTTGATTTATCGTACGTCTATATTCACACTTGTATCAGATGAGATACTCTTTATTAACAATTTGAGGATGAGATTTGTATAGTTCTGACAGAAATTGGTATTGCTCTCTCATGCGCTGAAGAATTGAACCAAGATGAATTGAAAGTAAGACTGTTTTTTAGAGTTTTTTATTTCACTGGAATATTTCTGTCAATTTCATCGACCAGGGTTGTGACGAATTTTTTGACTATACATTCAACAGACATATCACGATTCTCGACAAAGTCCCAATTTATGTGCTCGATACTGTTATATAGATTGAAAAGACCAATATCTGTAATTGGACGATAATTAAAACTTTTAGATGTTGATGGATACGGCTTATATTCTATTGTGAAGTCAATTGCTAAGTGTTCTGAAAAATAGGTGTCAAAAACGGTTAAAGATTTTTTAATTTCTGGGCAGTTCGTAAATATATTGTCGAGACAGTTAGCCTTACGGGTTTCCACAAACACCATAGCCTCAAGCCCATAGCTATCAAACAAGTTCACAACCTGTAATGCTTGATATTGATTAATATTGAATTTAACGTTGAAGCCACCAGTTACTATAAGCAATTTATTGTTATTAATCTTATCTAGAAGCATCGATAACTTCAACAGTTGTACATCACCAATAATAACACCAGCTAGTGCAAAGTTTACTTCATCAGATAGACTCAAGATATCTATGGGAAGGGATTCAGAAGCAAATGAATCATGAATATAAATTACCACACCACCTCTGATCTTAATTTTCCTACAAAAACTAGAAACAGCTCTATAACCACTAATGTGCAGACAGCTCAATTCATCCGATTTCAACCAATGTTCATTTAAGCACAAAACGCCGTACCTGTTATTCATACAAAGCAATTCAAGTTGGCCAATCTTATTGTACATTCCTTGGATATTATGGTGTAATAAACAAATGCCATAGTCTTTAAAGCCTGATTCATTCAACATATATTTTTTCATTACAATATTAGGGCGGGGAGTACAACTACCCTTATTATCATTGTCATTGTTTTTGTCATAAAAAGTATTGGGCAATGCGAAGTGTGCTTTACGTGCGCTATTTCGTTTTGAAAATTTTCCAGTGCTACTTCATTTGTTGAGAAACCGGAGGGTGTTATTGTTCTCAGTATTGGTTTTTTATTTAAATTATAGGCCATTGTTACAAATTTCTCAATGCATTTGCGAGCTGAGTACCGAATGTTCATATCCCTTACGAAACTAATAGATACGTTTGGATTAATGTGTTTGTATCTAAGTATTGAGCAACGAATATAAGCTACAACAGTGGCGGCTCGTGAGGTAGTGCCACGGTGCCATGGCACTACCTTGTCTTCTTCAAAAAGAATATTTTTTTCAATCTTCAATGTTTTACTTTATTTTTTGCTTTTTCATTTTTTTTTTTGGTATAAATTATATGAAGTGACAACACTGACAACGTGACAACACCGCAAGCACCCGAACCACGCGACGAGATATAAAGCATGCCTTGACCTTGACGTCATCAACTTGTGCCAATGTCGGGCCGGCCCAAATAAAAAGAGAGAAATTTTACCAGCATCGCATACGAGCGACAGAGATAACGCTACAATACACATTTTTATATGAGGTGAATAGCGAAAGACAAGTATAATTTGTGCCAGGCACATCATCAGTCGTAATTCGTTATCAAATGATATCGGCGGTGTTTTTGTTCGGTCGGTCGTTTCGTTATGATTACGTCTAGTGCTGATTTCGGTCTTTTTTTACCTGAAAAGTGAGAAATAACGTTTTTGTTTTAGTACGTCTAGTGTTAATGAACTGCTCTGTTTTGTGATCATATTTTTTACTGTTTTATTAAAACTAGTGAAAATGAATAAAATCGGGATATTAAAAAACTCATTTAGTGGTTTTTCGCTGGATCAAAAACTGCAAATTAAAGAATTAAGACGGCCAATACCCGATTTAAAAATTGAGAAACAAAGTGGTAGCGGACAAAAATCGCGCTGTCGCAAATTTAATAAAAATGTGTACGATAAAAACAGCTGGATATGTGGTTGTGAAGAAACGAATAAACTATTTTGTTTTGTATGTGTTCTATTTGGAGGTGACGAGACTTGGTCAAAAAAAGGTACAGATGATCTTATACATATATGGGATAAAATGAAGACCCACGAAAAATCTAAAGTCCATATGAATAATGTTTTTAGCTTTTCTATTCTTGGTAAATTAAATATAAGGACTCAACTCAATTCGGCTTATCGCAATGATCTAATTAAACATAATAATCAAGTGGATAAGAATCGATATGTATTGAATAAAATTATTAATTGTATAAGGTTTTGTGGAGCATTTGAGTTAGCCTTAAGGGGTCACGATGAAAAGGAAAATTCGGAAAACAGAGGCATATTTAAGGAGCTGGTGAATTTTAGCGCCGAATTAGACAACGAATTGAAAGTCCATATTCAAAGTGCCAAACTTTTCAAGGGTACCTCAAAAACAACTCAAAACGAGCTTC